TTCAGAGCTTGATCACTTAATCACAACCTTTATACCTCATAAGTCTCATGGTTTTGCTTTGATTTTAATGGAGAGGCGAAGTCCCTCCCTTTCCGGGGGACCTCCATGGGAGCTTATTTTGGAAAAAGTATGTATTGAAGTCAATGGAGAGAGAAAGATTATCTTTCGATTCCGTTTGAATTGTGCCACGAATTACACATATGATGTTTGTCAATTTAAAAGATAATTTTGCATGTCAACATTTTTTAAATGTGTCGTAAAACTGTGAAGTAACACTTTTTTTTGTGTGAAACCGCTAAATGAACAACATCTCCTGCCTCGCACCACACACCAAGACGGCCGTCACGTTGGCACATTTCACTTCTTTCTTTCAGAATGAGGCGAAAAGTATTAAAAGAGGTGAAAATCACTCCAAGTCTGGGCATGTTGAGAGCTGTACATACACACAAGGGGAGTTAGTCGGTTCCGTAAGAGCCAGCATGCAGGACCGGGATTCTGGGATTTGTAGTCTTTCTAGTTGTGTATTTTTCATAGTCTTATATTTCAACAGTTTTACAACAAACTGTGACTTTTTTGACATGGAAATTATTTTTTAAGATTGACAAGCATCATATGTGTAATTTGTGGCACAATTCAAAAGATAATCTTTCTCTCCTCATTGACTTCAATACATAATTTTTCCGAAATAAGGTCCCATGGGTCGGAAGTAGATGGGCGGGACTTCGGCTCTCTATGGCCTTTTTTCCTCACACAAAATTGTATCAAACACATTTCAAGGTTTTTCTGATACGACTACATTTATTTTCATGCTTAAAAAGCCTGCATAGACATTGCTTTACCACAATGCAACACCTATTTCTCAGAAAGGTCCTGTCACCAAAACCCCATGTATTCCTCACTTCTTCTACAGAGACGATGACAATTACTTTTTTATAAAATACTTTGGGGACAAAAAGGAGTCAAGAGGTTAAGTTGGCTCTTAATGAATCACCAACTTGTAGATACCACACCCAAAAAAGAAAGATATGGTCAGCAGGGTGACCGTTTTCCATGTTGGTGCATTAAGGGCAGATCATTTTTAATCATGCAGTCGTTGTATTCAAACCTTTAGGAACAAGTTGGTCTTAAACTGCAGGTTGGCCTGTTTTAAGTAGAGAAAATGCACCCAAAGACGTTCTTTCTTTTCATTAAGATATTAGGAGAACACAATGAATCGAAAGTATACTAAGCGTTTAAGGTTCTGCTTTTATTCTGATGCAACTCCTGCTCATCTTTTCATTTGGTTCAGTACTTCCTCTACGTCTACTAGGTGTGAGCTTTCCCTTCTCTGCGTAACGAGTTCCAGAAATGACATTTTAAAAGCTTTGAGTTCAATAAAGAGAATCAATGTGCCTTTCTGATTTCATTTCATTTCATTTCAAACCTTTATTTATTCAGGTTGTATCTGATATGCGAATACTACTTTATCATAGAGTAAATTCTCTCGCAGGGCTATTGAGCACTACACCACAAATTGCAGAACACAGTATGGAATGTATGGTCATCCACGTTGAGTAAAGTCTGAGTCAGTGCGAGCCCATTGCGACCTCACACTGTAGCAACTGCTACAAGGAATGATTGCAAAATTACTTGACATTATTTCCACAAAAGATGTCAAACCACAAGTAAAGCCCTTTCCTCTTACAGAGAGAAACTTAAGGGCATTGTTGGTAGAAATGTTTAATTGTCTCAAAACAGGCCAGACTAACTTGCATTGCTAATGTTTTCTTTGTTAATGCTTTAATTTCTAAAAGGTGCTGATAAAGGACATGTGGCTTTAGGATGACCTTGGGCCTGAGAGGGAATCCTACAGTATCACCCCCGCTATCAGACAATAACGAAAAACCCTGACTTGATTTTCCAAACTAAACGCTATGAAGAAAGTTCCGTTGGTCATTTTCTGGAAGTCCCCCGTTATCGGCTTGTCATTCATTAAAACTAAGAGAGAGAGGAGTGGAAACAAAGTAGAGGGATGACTAACCGGAGGTACCACTTCTGCTTTCCAGGCCTTAAATATCGGATGGCTCCAGACATTTGTCAGTTCACCAAGCCCTCTGGAGAAGAAAGAGCAACATTTAAAACTTTATTAAGTATTTATCTATTTAATTTAATATCTTTTACCCTTCTTGAAAATGGAAAACTGTGGAAGCATGTTCAAGGGAATTCTGGTCGCCATCGCCCTGGTCGTGATGGCTCAGTATGGATCGGCAGGTAAGACTAAGATGCTGATTTTATAAATGACTTTTCATCCTGTGAACCATTTTATTGTATTTATTATTAACTCGTCCATTCATGTTTAGCAGAAAAGCTGGATTCCTGCTGTAAAAAAGTCAGCAAAAAGCAGATAACTGATCCAATCATCGGGTACTATACCCAGAAGCCTAGCCCTCCATGTGTCACAGCCATCATGTAAGTACCAAGAGCACTTCTGTTTGTTCAAAGTCAAATAATTAATCATTTCTAAAACAAGAAAACAGTCGGAAAGTGTTAAAAAAAAAAGCTTGCATTCTAAGACAAAATTACTAATCACCAATATGTAATTTGTTTGTCATTCTTGCAGCTTTCAGACAGAGAAAGGTTATTTCTGCAGCTACCTGAAGTCTCCCTGGGTTCTTCTCAAGATCAAAGCATTCAAGTAAGTTCATTATTACCGTTCTTTTACACTCATTGTTCAATCCTTCAACCCCAAACTTGTTGTCTCATATGTTTTCTCTTATCTTTCTCACAGTAAAGCAGCTAGGGAGGCTGCTTTGTCTACGGCCCCAGCATCATCTGTCTCCCTGCTGTCCATCATTACATCCACTGCAGCACCCTCCACTCCTCCTCGTTCTTCATCCCCACTCCTCTCTCCTCATCCCCCACTCCTCTCTCCTCATCCTCTTTTCCCTCTTCCTCACCCTCTTTTCCCTCTTCCTCACCCTCTTTTCCCTCTTCCTCACCCTCTTTTCCCTCTTCCTCATTTCCCTCTTCCTCATCCTCTTTTCCCTCTTCCTCATTTCCCTCTTCCTCATCCTCTTTTCCCTCTTCTTCACCCTCTTCTCTCTCCTTCTCCTTAACATCGGAGATACCTGCTGGTGAAACCCTTTCAGAAAACGAGTCGAGCAACGAGTAGCATCGTCTCCACCTCCAGCCCTCCAGCGAAGAGTGAATTCATCAAGGAGTTCAAGATAATAGCCCTTTCAAATAGCACTTGAAGATGATGTTATAATTATTATGTTTAATATTTAGTTCTGTTAAATGCATTAAGAGTGAAGTTATTTATTAGTTGAATTTAATTGAACAGTGCTCATAGAAGTATTCATGTATTTATTACCAAATGTATTTATCAATGTTAACAAGTTACTGTATACAAATTCATGGTAATAGTCCAGAGAAAAGGTATTGAGCTATTTATTAATTTAAAAACTTGTTGTGAAACCATGAGATATTTTAACAAATAAATGTTCCACATCTGATCCTGCATCCTGTGTTTTTCTACATATTATCTGGCATACTTCTGACGTTTTGTCTGCAAAAGCAAGAACCTAAGATTGAAGAGTTTTACACAGCTAGAGATTAAATATGAACCGACTCGTGGCAGCTGTGGTTAGTGTTTGGTGTATTTATTGAGCCATAATGACAGAAAGTTGATAAATGTGTACCAGCTTCATCTTAAAAACAGCATCTTTTTTATTATCATACAAATGTTTTTTTTCCTGTCTTAAAACTACTTATACAAATGACTAAATAACATCAGAAAAAATATAAAATAGTTAACATTTTAAGATTGAATACCTACAGCTCTGGGTTTAAAATGTCATTAATTTAAATTAATTTAAAATATTTTTCAAATAATTTAGGGAAACCAAACACAAGTTCTCACTAGTGAAATGCCAATAATATGCAACATTAAATGCAATATACATTGGTCAACTTTTTGGATATACGACCTCACAAGTTTAAAAATGGCAATAAAATGTTTTAGCTAGATGTTAGCTGATGCTAACGTTAGCTTCCAGCTGACTAGCTAACTTGTTTTTAGCGGTATAAACATGTAACGCTAGCTAAAGTTTTGTTTAAGTTATTCAACAGTATTTTTTTAAAGGTAATATGAACACTATTTAATAAGAGTGGAACATTCATATTATCTTATATGAATTGTGATGTATTGGTTAATTACTTACCACAAACGTCTTCGCAAAGTTGTAATGACTGTTAACAGGACAGCGGTTGGTTTGGGGCTGGCCAATCAGGTGTCTTGTAGGCGGGACTTTGGTCACGCGACAATCATTACCGCTGACATCTACTGATATCTGCTGATGTGTATAAACTGTATTTATGTTTAGCTTTGGTTGCATTTTACTGCAGATTAAAGTCGAGCTAATTTTAAATTGTGTATAAACTGTTGGGAAGTTTAATCAACATCAATGTATCATATTCCACAAAATGATGCAATGTTTTCAGCGTTGATGTCCTTTGAGCAACAGTAGGCTGTTCCAAAAATGAAATTCTTCATGAGCTCTGTGATGATGAATGTTCCAGTTGAGCCAAGAGGACTTTTTATATTGTTGATTTAGCTTTTTAGGAGATTTTATCAACCCATAAATCATTTGTCAGTTTATCAGATCTCCAAATCACCAAATTTGGAGACACATAGTTTTGCGAAACTATAGAAGCAGAATATGGAAAGTAACAAACGCAGTGAGAAATGTGTAGTGGACTAGGACAAAATGCTTCTTATATTTAATATCAATAAAACAAGTGAGAAGGTGGAATTGCTGTTTAATCCATGTATAGCTAAACTATTAAACACATTTATTTACTTACGTTGTGGCACCTGTTTGGTAATTTTTGCTCAAATAAAATGACAAAAACATCAAAAAATATATTTTATCATGAATATATATCTTAGAACATACATGCACATTGTATGCTACTATATGTGAGAGCATGAAGGAAAAACAAACATGACTCAGTTTCAATGATAAAAGTATTTATACATAAAACATATACAATTACAATTTATGCAAAAGCTTATAAAACTCCTTTGTCCTCCTGTACATAAACATTAACACATTCACGTTTTTTTAATTGAAAACTACTGGATCATTTAAAAAAGATTTTAAGGGTCGCCAGTAGATGCTGCCTAATTTTAAGAGGTTACAAGCCAAAACATTTTCACATTTACTTTTTGGGTTATTAATTCAATAAAACAATATATTTCAATATATATTTTCTAATACATTCATTTATTTTTGGGTTGTTTAAATGTTCTTTGTTTTGAAGACTCTTTCATAATGAAAAATAAAATATATCATGACCACCGTGAATCATGAAGTCCAGACTTATTATTAAAGTCTAAAGTTGTCTTCACTGTAACAGATGATATCCTCTCCTTTTTCTAACGTTAAATGAAACGAAAGGAAGATGCAGGTGTGTGTTCTGCTGTATTTCAGCATGCACTGTCTCATGTGCTTTATACATTAATAAAATGAGAATCAGGAGGCACACGCCGTGAAACCAGAAGTCCTTCGCTTCAGAAACTTCTGCAGGAAACAGGTTCGGTCCCTGCAGCAGCGAACGATATGTCTACAAGAGTCCTTAAGTGAGAGTGGAATTCAGATTAACTCTGAATGTAATCTTCAATTCTGAATGTCTTTATATAAAAACAGTTTTTTCTCCCGGTCAGAGCACCGTGGTCTCAGTCTGCAGGATGGACTGAGCTCGAGAGTTTCTGGGGAAGTGAGCAGAGTTTTCGGTGCCGTTCCTGCTCATTGACATAGCATGTGGTCTGTAGTCCCGCCCCACGTAGCGCTTGAGAGATAAACTCCTCCACGTCCTCCTCAGCTCGCTCTGGACCTTTATATACATACACAAAGTAGAATTTAGTTTCTGTGAAGCAGAGAATGTAATGTTTAATGTGTGTGCGTGTGCGTGTGCGTGTGCGTGTGTGTGTGTGTGTGTGTGTGTGTGTAGGCTCACCTCGCTGTTGAGGAAACAATATAAGACAGCCACAATTAAACCCTGAAACACACACATAAACCACGGTTACTGATTAGCATTATCTTAGCATAGTTTTGTTAGTTAACTTGAACAAAAATGACATGTACTTCATTCATTAGGCGATAAGACAACTACATAACATTAAATGTTTTTTGTTCTGTAAAAAACTTGAGCTTGAGTTTTAAGGCGATCAAGACACAAACAAATAGCAAATTAAATTATAGTCAATAACTAATAGTAGACTAAAACAAGCAATTATGAACGTTCATGTCAGGAAGGACATTTCTAGACGTCCATACAGTTTCTACTTTAGATATACCATCTTATAGTTCTGAATTAAATCCTTTAATAGTCAATCGTTACGTGTTACCTGGAAGGATCCGAGGGCGAGGTCAAAGAAGATCTTGATGTGATTCATGTTTTTGTCAGTGGGCTCCACCAGGTAGACAAACACCACGTAGTTCACTCCAAACAGAGGGATCAGCAGGAGGGTGGACTTGGCCAAACGTCTACAGAACACAAACACACACATAGTTACACACTCAATACATAACATTTATGTATGGGCTAAATGTGCTATTGGCAACACATTTGTTTGCAGCGTTAGGTGAAAGGACAGAATTGTGTTCCTTCTCTCCATCAGAAATGGTAGGATATTGTGTTTATTTTCAATACAAAACATTTGTTAGGCTGCCAGATAGTTCCCCATGTTACCTAAAAGCCCTCTTTAAATAAATATACCTGTATTGTGATTGCTCATTTCCTCCGACATCAGTGCAGCGCAGTTTCTGCACCAGGATGCGGATGATGCTGATGAACAGGATGAAGTTGATCTTATAGAGAAACACGAAAGAAAGGGAGACAAATCTAAACCTTCTAGTAAATAACGTTTTTTATCCAACTCCAGAAAGACCAGGATACTAAATAAGTGATTTAATGGACTAATGGATAATGAGTAGCAATAAACAAAAATAAATCAAGCCACAAAAACTAAAGTTATGACCTCATTATATTAAGATGTTGGTGCAAAACTCACAATGACAGACGCCATGATGGGCCAGTTTATCAGCCGGTTGGGGATAGGGTTCTCGTTCATCTCCCAACAACTGAAAACAAGAACAAATATCAGTATTGTTACCCGCCTCAAATCATCAAATCTTTATCTACTTTTTAAAGAAAGTTCATCCTAAATGTGAAGTCTGCATTCATTCCTTAAGCAACAACACTATGTATCTTGTTTTTGTATGACCTGTATTTCATTATCCAAATTCTTTGTAATTTTATCTAATAAGGTTTTTCTAAATGTTTCCTTTAATCTTGTGTGCAGCGCTGATAGAGGCCACCAGAGGCTGACAGGCGCCACAGACTCACCTCGTGTCCTCCAGGTTTATCCTGCATATGATCCACGCTACCATGAAAACAAAAGGGATTCCTGAGGGAGGAGAGAAAGTCTGTTTTGACTCTCAGTCTGCACAACCTCACGAGGTGCCAGGCAGGAAACATGACACACACGTACATTAAACATCTGGAGCTGAATGTTGATGCATTAGGGAGGAAGTGTTGGTAAAGTGGTGATGGATGATGGAGGGAGGAGTAGCATGGCAGCAGAACAGACCTGAGCCAACACAGAGGAGCCAGGAGAATGTCTACCACCCGACCTTTTCATCAAATACATCAATCTGCTGATCTACTGATACTTTTACACCTTTGCATGGATTTAACAAAGAATATGTAACATGTTTATTTGAATAAGAGATGTTGGTGTGCAGATTTTTTAACAATCAGACGGAGCTGGGCTAGCTTTCTCCCACTGTTTGCCGTTTTTATACTAAGCTAAACTAACCAGCTGCTGAGTATCACTTTACATTTACAATACAGACATCGATCTTCTCATCTTAGTCAAGAAAAAGCATATGTCTGGGAAGGTTGTGATTGAGTTAAAACCATTATGTGTAGATTTGTTCTTGGTGATTATGACACCTGTCAAATCCAACTGAGTTTTGGTTTATAAAATAATTAAAATGGAAGCATTGTATGTGTTATTTATAAGTGCATTAATCTCAAACTATATCCACACTTAGATCTGAGTAAGTGAGTTTCAGGTCATCCTAACCGTCAATTACCATTTTTTTTTAAATAGTAACTTTGATATTAACAGTCCATATTAAAATAATAGAAAGACTAGAACACTCTTCATTATATATCCTGTAGTATAGTAAGGAACAATGAAATCATTATAAGATTTTAAACATATTTTCCCAACACCAACACACATATGGAAACTAAAAACATGTCCCATAGCTCCTGTTGTGAAGCAGCGTACCCCAGCCGATGAGCATGTAGGTGGAGAGGCGGGTGGAGTAGCGGTGGATGACGAGCAGCAGCGTGTGCAGGTACAGACCCTCCACCAGCAGCCAGAAGAAGTTGGCCATGATGAAGTAGTTGAAGAAGACAAGGCTGGCCTTACAGCCCACCTACAACAACAACAACAACAACAACACACTTTATTACAATAAAAGACAACAATAACACTGAATATAATGATGTGAATGTGTGTGTGAGGTCACCAGCGAGGGCTGCGTGCTGCAGTCTGTGTTTTGGTCGTCTGAGAAGAGCAGCTCGTCTTTAATGAGCACGGCAACGGCTCGCAGCATGAAGGACAAAAACAAGTTCAGATGGATGAAGTTCCTCGTGCAGTGGAGCCTCCTGTATGCATACACACACACACACACACACACACACACACACACACACACACACACACACACACACACACACACACACACACACACACACACACACCACACACACACACACACACACACACACACACACACACACACACACACACACACACACACACACACACACACACACACACACACACACACACACACACACACACACACACAGGCATGAGGAGAAGTGTGTTTACAGTGGGTGTCGTGGTGTGAATCCGGTGAGGGATGTGCTATCTGAACGCGTTGACAGCAGCTGAGGGAACAGCTGGAGTTGATCCAGCGTTCATCAGACTCTACAAACTGTTATCACCCTGAGAGCTCTGTGTGTGTGAGGAGGACACATGTGCGTTTAACACTGTTTATATTTTTGAAACCTTTATATAATATTTAGTTAAAAGTGTGTCTTACTTTTGACAGTCAGAAAAATACTAGGGTCTGTGCACAGTATTTGCTGTCTCACACAAATATTGAACTTTAAACTGTCAACCATCATTGGAGATTGAAATGTAAAATATAAGAAAACTAAGCATACATTAATGAATTAAAGTTGATTGGCTGTTCTATACTACATTTTGGATATCTGATGTATCAGACATGTTTGACAACCTTTTGTTTTTCAGCTATACATGTATATGGAATTATAACAAATCAATGGAACTGAAAGCATGCAGGATGATTTTGTTTAGGCAAAAAAAAAATGTACGGAATATTCTTAAAATAAAAGTATACAGCGTACGCAGAAGACACCTTTGTTGTTTTATTCATATTCAACAAGTTTTATGGTTGGAAATGTGGGTCTGTCTGTTTGCATTGTGCATCATTAGAGGTGTGTGAGTGTGTGTGTGTGTGTGTGTGTGTGTGTGTGTGTGCGTGTGTGTTACCTGAACAAGCAGATGATGATGGAGCTGGTGAGCAGAGTGATGAGGGACAGGCTGTGGCCCAGAGTGGAGAGGATCCTCACCACTCTGTAGAAGATCAGCTGCACACACACACACACACACACACACACACACACACACACACACACACACACACACACACACACACACACACACACACACACACACACACACACACACACACACACACACACACACACACACACACCACACACACACACACACACACACACACACACTCACACACACACACACACACACACACACACACACACACACACACACACACACATTGATTTAGACAAATGTACAAGTCAACAACTATTACAATTAAGTAGTTTAAGCACAACTACATCAATAGTTAATGTAACCTGGTTGTGGTTAAGGACAATTACAGCCACTGGAGGGCGCTGCTCTCTATCATCTATTCGTTCATCCACATACAGTAGAAATAGCTGCCTGAATAATTATTGTTTACACCTCCAACAAGTAAACATAGCTGTTGCCTGGTGACAAAAACATCAGGAGCATTGTGCGTTTATAGATCTGATGATGAGGGCTCCCCGTCAACCTGCGGCCAATAAGAAGCAAGTATTCTCTGTGATTATGGATGTTTTCTCATGCCTCTCAGGAATAATAGATCCACGGCAGAGTGTCTTTCTTAGCATGTTTGATTAAGTAATGATCTTTAGATGAGTTCAGGTTAATTCCCTTTCAAAATGAAATCTGATTACTGCCAAAAAGACAAACACATCTCCTCAGTTCAGTCATTTCCAGGCCTGTTTCCCACACAGTGATACAACTGGAAGATGTACAAGTCATCATCAACATCACTCATTGAGCTTCTGGGGTCTCATGTGTCTTTTTACAGCAGGGAGCGGCTCTTTCACAATAAAAACAGCATCGGGATAGGTCCATTTCAAAACGGCTCTAAAACACGCAGACACAGAGATGGATCTAGACTTTAGAGCCTTGAATTACTGCCTGGTGTGTGTCTGTCTCTGTGTGTGTGTGTGTGTGTGTGTGTGTGTGTGTGTGTGTGTGTGTGTGTCGGTGCCTGCCGTTCATCGCTCTCTCATCATGTATAAACAACATTCCCCATGCCTGACACCATCTGGCAATACACCGGACATTCACACACTCTCTCAGTGTATACATTTGGACATGCATGAGATTGTGCACTTTAACACAAACACACACACACACACACACACTAACATACTATTAAACCCACTAATTGAAACACTCATTCTGAAACATGTAACATTATTTTTTATTTCATCCACGTCTTTAAGACCCAGACACATGTTTAGAACCTGAGATATTAACCCATCCCTCCAATAAATAATCATCACTACATACAAAGCATTCATGTCAAAGATAGGGTTAAGATAAGGTTAAGATAAGTCATACAAGTACATGCAATTTATTTATAGAAGTCTCGTGTTAAACAACCAAAATCATTTAAACTTTTTTCCCCTTTCAATAACACATCTCGCACTACTGCATGTGTATAGTATTCTTTGTTTTGGTACTGTAGTAAGATGGTCCATTACAGTGTAGTCCAACGTATTCTGTATATTTTATATTGTGTAATTTATAGATACTCCATGGATATTCATCTTTCTATGTTAATATGTATATATTATTACACAAGATTACACAAGTACTGAGTCAAGCATATACACAGATATAAAAAGGCTAAAGTATATACAAACAGTATGAACAGTATTTATGGGTATTAACAGTAGCATAGAGAGCGTATGGACACTGTAGATAGAATACATTTACATACACTATAGAACGTAAATTACACTTTTGTAAATAATATGAATAAATATGTGTATGCTAGAGAATATATTGCAAATTGTATTTATTTTAATATGCAATGCCTTGTAACCATGCTGCTTTAACAGAAGAATTTTACAATTTGGGATTAATAAATCAATCTAATCTAAGATAAAAGGAAATTCCATTGTGGCATTCCCAGTTTTAGAGAAGTAATGGATTTCAGTTATTTTTCCACCACTCCCTGTCCACTCTGAGTGCACGCACGCACGCCCGCACGCACGCACGCGCACACACACACACACACACACACACACACACACACACACACACACACACACACACACACACACACACACACACACACACACACACACACACACACACACACACACACACACACACACACACACACACACACACACACACACACACACACACACACACACACACACACACACGAGGATACACAGACAGTGGCAGCCTGGCATCACAGTCTCATTCCTGCCTGTGATTCTCAGGCCTGAGGCGGATGATGACCTGCCGGCTCGGGTCGCTGCAGCCACATTTCCTTCTATGTCCAAAACACGCCTCCCTCCATCTTTCTGTCTTCCTCTCTGACACCACAGAATTAAAGCGATGCTCAACTGAAGGCTGAGCAGCTTCCTGGCCGCGAGAGGAGACTGACTTAGTGTTCTGCTCCTAGTAGTGTGCCGTCTACTGTTTTAAATCAAGGCAATTGATTTGAGTAACAATATAATAGTCATGTATCCTAGAGGGGGGGGGGGCATGTAAATAGTAGCATGACCTTAAAGAAGCAGAAAGGGGTGATGGTTGATATCGGAATGAGGGTTATTAATTAAAAGTATCAATTAATTTTTGTCTAATCCCTCAAACGCACACACACTGTTTTAGTTTTCTTTTTTTGTCTCCATGTATATTTTTTGTAATTAGTTTTTTGTCTTTACTTGTAAATGCACCTTACTGTCATCTGTATATATGTGACACTGTACTTGTATGCACTTGTCTTGTAACTCCTATATCACTAAATACAAAAATAATTCAATCAAGGCAATAATCCATATAGATAGGTTTCTCTGACAGAAAGCCTTAATGCTTTATCGCATAAATCATATTTAAACAAAGGTGTTTCCCCAGCATTGTGACAACAGTTTGGGGGAAAATGCACAGGATATATAGTATGTACTTTTTTTTACAGTATAGAAACACATCAGAATCGGAATTTGATTTACTCTCAAGTAGGTTTTCACATACAAGAAATGTGGGGTTTAATATCAGCTTCAAACTTCCTGGACACATTTTAATCTCTTTTTTAAAAGGTTAAAATTCCAATACATCCTCTCATGTCTCCATTGTTTGAGTCTACATGTGCGAACGCTTGTTGATTGAAATGTATTCTGTGATCAAAGAGGACAATCCGCTGTTTCCGCAGTGTGTGAAGTGTGTGTATCTGTGTGTGAGTGCCAGAGGTGACGTCTGGTCTGAGCTGAATGTTCTCCAGATGGAAAACCTCTGTCTCTCCAACAGGAAACAAAAAGAAGCTTCAGTGAGAGACAAAGAGCGGGAATCCCACACCTGAGGGCTCTGGAGAGGATCAGTCTGTGTGTGTGTGTGTGTGTGTGTGTGTGTGTGTGTGTGTGTGTGTGTGTGTGTGTGTGTGTGTGTGTGTGTGTGTGTGTTAACATTCATCTTTATGTTCTACTGTTTTCTGTCATAGTGCTCTATGTTCAGCTCATGATCTATTAGTGTCTGTACTATTTCTGTATTAGCTTTTAGTTTTAGTTGTTCTCTCTGTTCCTAAATCTGTATTCACAGGCTGGAAACACAATATACAGCCGCTTGTTGACAAATTATTAAAACCTCCAATGAGTCCATCCTGTTACTATCAGCCTACTGAGATTAGGTTTTAGTGAGAATGAAAGTGTTTGGGAAGAAGTTAGTTTATGAATGGATAAATGAGACTTGCATTATACTGCAATAGTCGTGTGAGAGTTTTACATGAACGTTTGATATCA